GCGAAAAAGTACCTTTCGGCTTTACTCGAGCAAAAATCCTCTACGTGACCATTTTTTAAATACTGGACCTTTAAGAAATTTTTAGCACCGTTGTATAGAGCAAATTTTCTATTTTACGATGACGTATTTACTTTTCAGATAGGACGAGTTTGAACGGAGTTATGGCTTTGAATAGTGCAAAAGTCGCACTCATCATCAATTTTCCTCGTTAATCAACCTAAATTGAAAATTTTGCATTAATTTTCATAATTTTCATACTGACTAGAAAGAGCACGTCGCAAAACCTCTAAATCTGCTTTCAGATTGGAAATACATCCTTTTCGAAGAAAGTTATTGTCATTTGAATATTTCAACGTGTAATAGTAGGTAAGCTGCTCCACCGCCAACTCTAGGATCAGTCAGTTCGCTGTTGGTTTGTAGCTTCTGCGCGTCTACTTCGTAATTTTTCTAGTTTTTTTACTTGGTTCTCTATCGGGTTGATTGTGAACAAACTTTCTTCGACTTCTTCTACTTTGGGGAAGACTTTTATGATGGAGGGTAAGGCAGAAGAGCTGTTTTTCCCTCAGGAAAGGTTTGAGGAGGGATAAACATTGTTTTCATACTGGGCTTGTCGATAGAGTCTTGGACTTGGGGCGCGGTGGGGAGGGGGAGAGGGGGGTCGTATTTCGAATTTTTCCTTGACGTCTCGCTTGACCCTGGAAGGGACGTGTCCACATGAGTGCGAGTGAGCCGGGATGAGTTGGCGCCTATCCATGGGCTTACAGCGACTTTTCAAGGGCACTCTTTGCTCCAACAACACCTCGATTCTTCTTTGCTAGGGTCCATGCATCTTTTTACTAGATTAGAACGATTTGGATAGCAAGGTTCAAGTATGAGGCAGCAGGTACTTCGCCACTCAACAACGGAGTAACAAAAATTTCCTAAAAATGTTATCACCCATACACTGTCGGCATGCCCTAAAACATACGAGTAGCGTTATGTCACAAATACTACACTGCTGTAGAGTTGACCACCGGTGGTGAGAGGCCCCACAACATTAGCCCATTGAAAGGCTTATCTTTATAGCCTAAAATAGGCCGAGGCCTTGACTATATAAACCGAGCCGGAAAGATCTCCAACTTTGTTCATGTCAAGCCACTTTGGAGCAGTTTCGCAGCAATCCTTATCACTTTTTCTAGACACTACACCAGTAGACAACAATAAACGGAAATTAGTCAGAATTCGCCTCTGCAACCAGAATTGCATCGTGGATACTTGCGCAGTGTGTCTGCGTACATGGAACAGTAGGGGATTGAGAAATCTGCGGTTTACCAGCTCCACTTTCCAGCATGTGATGTTGCCTCAGATGTCGGAGAAGCTGTGGAACAATGCGTGTGCAAGAAAAATACACTAATACGAAGTGCTGAAGAACATTTGATTTTGCGGGTAATCCTTGCGCAGGGGCCATGCTAACCTTCTCTGTATTGTTCCAACTTTAGTATTTGTTCAGGAATGAAAAAAAATCGTGTGGTCTCAGTCATCCTCAACAGAAAGGGTTTGCGGGGGGATAGTAAACTTTGAGCTTACACATTTAGCTAGTAAATGGAAGGAAAAGTCATGTTGTGATTTCGATGCCAAAGAAGGATTCCACAATAAAGTTTGAGGTCGAAGAAAGGAAAATGAACCTAGTGGAAGGCGGCCCCTTAGGGGTCTGGAACGATGCGTGTTTCGCAGCGAAGAGTACGCCGCTACGGCAAAACTGAGGCATACCCGCGCCGCGGCACGCCCACTATCTCGCCGTCTGACTCTCGCCATCTAGCAGAAAGAGCATTTGCGCTGAAGAGGGTAACCCTATGAGTGTGTGTTAGCATCAGTGCGGAAATCAGCAGGCAATTGAACCCTATTTCGGGTTCTGGGCCTCTCCTCATGGTTTTCCACTCATCCTAGCACCACTGACCACCTATCTAATTTCTAATGTTTTGCCGATCAAAGAAATGGGTGCATTTTTATAGCCAGTGATGTCTTGTCTTACATTCCACTTTTTAACACCGAAA